TGCTCACATTATAAAAGTTCATTCGAAAGTCGACGAAATGCATATTGCGGATCAGATATACCGAGTTATAGCTGACGATTGCAGCTTCTTCCTATCCCATGGGAAGCTCGTCACCATCCGGCGGCTTTTGATCACCGGTACTCAACAGTTGAAGTCTTTTATTGCAAGATGATCGAGTTATTTGGGAGATGGCTGCTGCGGATGTCTGAGCTCCGTATAAGCCTAACATATAGTGGTTGCTTTGCTTACACTCCTATCAGCTAGATGGGCTGTCCAGTGGTCGGAATGCACGGAATGTTGTCTCTGGGATTTTCAAGCAAACCAGTACATTTTTTCCTTGACATTATTGTGTCAAGCTTAGTTCAATTTACCAGATTCCGTGAATCGAGGGAATCACGCTTGTTCAATGGAACTCTGTTCGGAACTTATGACATCCTGTGGAGTTAGGCATTGTCACCACTGCCAGTCTATCACTATCTAGACTGATATGACCGACTAAGGCGTCAATTATTAACTCCATCGCCATGTAGTATTTTTACCGAACTGATTTAACTGTTTTCGATACAAATAATCATTGATCCCGGTATACAGACCGATTAGGCGATCTTCTAGACGCTTATCGCCCGAAGCATTTATGTTATCGTGTGCGTCTCATGTAAGCTGAATATTTGTCGGTAAATGTTTTGCTACTTCCCGATACACGGTGGAGAGGCTCCGAAATTATTCAACTAGGTATTTTATCCTATCCATGGAAGATTTCAGTCCATGGATCTATTTCCGGGGTCGCATTTCCAATCTGGATGAAATTTATCTGTCTAAACCAAGATGTTTTAGGCGATTTGAATCCGAGGTCGTAGGAGTTTTTCCCCTCAGTAGAATGACCTCATCAGTGGTCGCCATATGGCAATGCTCGAAAGACAACCCATCAGTTCTACCTCTTGTGCAGGCTGGCGGGTATTTGTACTTCCTTGCTCACTGAACTAGTCGGAGTCAAACAGCGCATATATCAAACGCTGCTCTGTTGCGCAATCCGGAGTTGGCAACGATGCAAAAATTCACAATGAGCAATGCTCTCCCTGTTTTTAATTCAAGACGAAGATGTGGACCGCACTCAATATGATTTCAAAACATAGGTTAACCGGATTAGCTTTTTGCTTCTCCTAAAAGCTTACCCATCATTTGCTCCTCTTTTCGAATGTCTTCAATTGGATCAACTCTATCCTACAGCTTTGAGAATGCAAATATGTCATTGCCCGGATTACGTGAATAATCTCGAGACCTACATAAGTCTATTTTATCGCAATACTACGCCATATGGCTTACTGCTCGATACAACTTCAGTGCTATTATTACCACAGCTACGCGCAATGACAGTTTAATGAAAATTTGAGCAATACCTCCTTTTTATTTAGTTTGTGTAATGAACACAATAGTTTCACTCATTCGCTATCTACGATCTCCCTCTCCTACTTGAGTTTGTTCCCATTTTCCCTCTTCCTCTGTAATATCTAGTTCAATAGCGTGATCGGAATGCTGTTTGTGCTTGTGTTTTGTATCCTGGTCAAATTTCCCGGCTCCCCGGTCATCATGGCTCGTGTCTATATTGCGGCCGGAATACTGGGTATTGGTTGCACTATCATCCTCATCACCGGTTTGGCCATGGTGTCCGATTTGATCGGAAAAAATCCGGAGAACGGAGCATTCGTCTACGGTTACATGTCGTTCACAGACAAACTGGCCAACGGATTGGTGATCCAAGTGATTGAGTCGTTGTGCAATAAAGTGGAAAGCAATCAGTACTATGAGGATGTTGAGGCCTACGGAATCGGCTCAATTGTGGCTATTGGGTTGGTGTTTCTGGTGATCCAGACTGTGGTCAAATGGCGAACGTATGGACATATTTCCCTCATTTTTGCACCATCCACCACAGCGATCATGACACAGAGCTAGCAGCCGTTCGCCGATTTATCTTGGTACTGCTTTGTGTTCTCCGACCACTCATTCCGTCCGTCCCCGCCGAATTCCGAATCGGTGGCGGTGCTGCTTCATTCCCAAATCGGTTTTTATTCTTCTGCTTTCTTTCTTCCCGATTCTTCCCTGTGTTTTTTATTATTTGTTATCGCTATTTCTTACACGTGCAGTTTTGTGCTTATTTTTATGCCACACGAAACTGTTATCTTCACACACAAATCAGGCGATTCTGTTCAGTCCTGTTGTTCATTGTATCATCAGTATTTGAGATTTTTCGAACTGCTGTTTTGCAGGTTTATTCCTCTTCTTTCAAAACGCAATCAACTTTGTGATATGACATGATGATTGGTTTGAGGTTTGATTTTGTTTACATTTTTATCTTGTTTCACTTTGTATCGAATTGTTTTCCAAGACGCTATTACATGGAAGAAATCTGACTGAAACTGGCGCGTTATTCTCTCTCTCTCTCTCATTATTTAGACTCACCTGTGGAAAGATTTACAAACAAAACAGTCAAGATGTTTTCGCTTATGGCAAATCTAGGCACGGCTAATATAGTTCTTACAGTTGACCTCGGTGAGAATATCGGTTCTCGCCATACTGTACAATGGTTCTTTAATTGTGGCCTCAGTTATGGATTTTGATCAATCTGTGTTCCTTAGTAGATAAAATTGCAACTCATTTTTGCATACACCCAATCATTTCGTACCCAAGAAAGCGCTTGCGTTCAAGTAGAGTTCGTTAGGTGAAATATGCCTACAGACTAGGGATTAGGTGAGATTAGTTTTGCAATAGAAGAGAAAGCTCTATCAAGCATAATCGGAATTCGAAGTGAGAAATGTTCAGCGCGAGTGAACGTGCTGTAGTGTTTGCCGCATCAGAACTGGTGCCGAGTTCAACAATTGTGCGGGACCTTTCGCAAAACAAGGCTATATGTAGATATGGAACTACCTTTTGCGGCACAAAGTTGACTGGGCGCGTGGATGGTCGGGTCATCCGTGTTCCACGGGAGAACACTAACTTCCACGCCGGTGTCAATTGGGAATTGTGGGTTATTAGTCAAATTCCTAACGTCACTCACTGTGGTGTATGACACTGACCTCGAAAAAATCATTGTACACTTTAAATGCAGAGTAAACAATTCGAATAAATTCCGTGCGCTATTTCATTCGAAGCTGTTGCATTTCTGAGATCAGTATGGCGTGAATTTCGGAGCTGCATTTGCCGTCGCGGCCGGTCTACTGAACAATGAATTACAATCCCTAGATTTCAACTATAATGCACACACTATCGAGGGTTACTTTAAACGTTTTGAGGTTTCGTGGTTGACTCGTTCGAAGCCCAATGAAGAAACGAAATCCGCGTTCCTTTTGAATGTTACCGGTAAAAATGCTTATACACTACTGAAAGCTTCGCTTATCCTTCACCTGTTTCTCTATCGTACGAGGATTTAAAATCCCTTTTTCTACAGCATATAAAGCCGACGAACTTTGAAGCCTTGAATTTTGGCCGTGCTTTACATTTTTGCAGTGGATACACTTGACTGTGCACATTTACATGTCGTAAATAGCAAATATCTGTGTTATAGGGGTCATTCCGTTGGGTTTTCTGGTGCAACGGCGAAATTGACCATTCGATATAGTAAGGCACGAGATTCTCCATCGCAAATGAAAATGATTTAGAAATTCCAAACCCGGAAACTGAAATTTTACTTAGATGACCATGTTCAATGGTACTTAATGGTGAATATAATAATAAGATAGCTAATTTTATTGTTCTTATTTTTCAACTTATTCTCTGTTATCTTAAACCCGTATTTTAATTCACAACATACAGTCGTCATTATGAATCCAATAAAAGTTTAGATTTATATGTTTCTAAACATAAAATTATTCACTTTTATACGTTTCCCCGTTCCACTTCGACTATTCTGCTGCAAAATCATAAGAATGAACAACGTATTCTAATCGCTCCCAGTTAGAACAGATCCGCACTTCCGTGCTTTCGAGAATGACGTCGAAATTTCAGCGTTTGCGCATTCAGTGAGGAATCGTTAAAAACGGTTAGGAATAAACGTCAACGTAACCACACTAAGCATCGCACTGGCCGGCGAGTTTGTAGTGACTATAATTGTACGAAGAAAAGGAGCGATCCACGAAGATGTTTTCCGTTCATATTTTCTTAACAATGAACTCTGACTCCAAATGTGATATTTCTATGTTTTACTTCTGCTTAATTTAATGAGCACGGTTCTCCGCTCATGTATATATATATATATATGTATATATATATATATATATATATGTATATATATATATATATAAGCTGGGTCCTGTTCAAATCCACGCAACACGTGTGACACGCTTTCGCTTTGTTACTGCATTTTTGCTTGCATTGTTTAGCGTGACCTCAAAACGTATTCGGTACTATCTAGTACCTCGATACGCCAATAAACGTCTACGACTCCCACGAGTGTTTTTGTCTACCCCGGGCAGAGAGACACTAGGAGGTGGCGCTCTATTGGTGATCCGTGAGAAGACTTATCGGCAAGTCGTCAATGTCGGTTAGCTTCATTGGTGAGCCCGTAACGTCTAATTGGTGAGTCCAATCTACTTTGATGTGCACTATTTTTCTTTCATTTCGTTTTCATTTGCACGATATAATTATTTATCGCAATTGTACGATGGAAGAGAGGCGTAGACCAGTAGACGATAGGTTACTGGACCTATTGGCTATTAGTTTTAAGCCAGAAGTCTTCATCCCTCACGACCCTGGGGTGTGGTTTGCTGCATTAGAAACGCAGTTTATTATCCGTAACGTGCCGACCAAGCGCTCCAAATACGTTTACACGGTCGGAGCTATCCCTGACGATCGAATATCTGCCATTAGGGATATCACCCTTAAACTGCAGGAAGAAAAACGCGAACGACGTTCTGAAGGCTGCTATCCTTCAGTTCTACACCTCCTCTAACGAGGAACGGTTACACCAGTTGCAGGCTCGTCACTCGAATGGTAACACGACGCCAAGCAGGCATCGGGCGCATCTAC